TGTATTCAGAAAAACAGAAGTCCTCAATCAAACCGGGGTCACGTACTGCATTTGCCTCCGCTGAGTCAGCCCTTTTGACATGTTTGCTTGTAGAAAAAGAGAGGGGAAAAAAATCCAATATTTCACATAAAAGCAGCCGGTGCATGATGCCGATAAAATGCCAGCCAAGCAGTCTAGGAACTGAATGCGAAGACTGTGAGGCGACAGGCCTTTTACCATACACCGTATTGATTTAGAACTGTTATTCAAAGCACCCTTCAGTGCCCACCAGTACACCTGAAAGTAGAGTGCTCTGTGAAATACTGCTCACTCCTTTTATGTAGTCTATTTCAATCTTTAACACCAGTAGATTCAACTTTTTTTTATAAATTGATTGAATGTTGAAACTTTCCTTTATGCAACCACCTTTTCTCAAACTCTCTAATCGACTTCAGTTAAACGCTTTCCTGAGTGATGACTATGTCTTCCATGAATTTCTTTTCAGTAAGATGCCAAGGTTCAAATCAAGGCCCTCACACCTCCCCCTTTCGCAGGTTTCATATCTGTTCACCAAAAATGCGATGTATCTCAGTCTGATGGTTTTTTATTAACAGGTCTTGCAGCTCAGAAAAGTGAAACTTCACCGTGTTGAAAAAGACAAGGTTGACTTGGTCCAAAAAAATGTAACTTTGATTCGACTTTTCCTCGCTGCCTTTTTGATACTGAATCTGTTGCAACCTTCATGAACCACTGGTTGTAAATAGTTTTACTCAATGCCCAACACAGCATCTTTATTTGATTTAAGAAAAAGGCAGTAAATCTGACATATTTTGTGGTGGTGATTGTGCTATAAAAAAAAAATGAAGTGGGTCTCTTGATCCAACAGCGGGGACTGTTTTGTTTTGTGGAGTCATTTTCAGTTGTTATGTAATCTTTGTTTGTATTTTTCCAAGTTTGTTTGTTGTTTGTCTTGTTGTTTCAACCTTTTTTTCGGTGGGTTACTCTCATTTGTTGTGCATTTTAATTTTGCCATTTTCATGTGTTGGGTCATTTCCAATCATTAGGTCATTTCAAGCTGTTGGGTTATTTCCATTTGTTGGGTCCTCATTATTTGTTGGGTCATTTTCATTTGTTGGTTTATTTCCATTTGTTGGCTCCAATCATTTGTTGAGTTATTTCTATTTGTTGGGTCATTTTTCATTGATGGGTTACTTTAATTTGTTAGGTTTTTCACTGGTTTGATTGTTTTCTCTTGTTGGGTTACCTTAATTTGTTGGGTCATTTCCATTTTTTGGAAATAATTTGGTCATTTCCATTTGTTGGGTCATTTTTAATTGCCGAGTCATTTCAAGCTGTTGGGTCATTTTTTGTTGTTGGGTTATTTCTTTTTTGGGTCATTTTTCGTTGTTGGGTTACTTTCAATTGTTAGATTTTTCACTGGTTTGATTGTTTTCTCTTGTTCGATTGTGTGCTTTTATTGGTCCATTTGAAATTGTTGGGATGTTCTCATTTGATCGTTTATTTAAGTTGCTGGGTCATTTTAAGAAGACATTTGCATTTGTCATGTCATTTCAAGTTGCTAGGTTGTTTACATTTGTTGGATTGTAAACTTTTATCTGCTCCTTTAGATGTTGAATTGGTTTGATCAATCAGTTGTTGGGTTAGTTTTGTCTGTAGGTCACTTTTGGTTGTTCGGTTTTCTAAATTGTTGGGTCATGTTATGTTGTCAGGTTATTTGAAATTGTTGGGTTAATCTTGGATGAGGTTTCATGTAATTTGTTTAGCGATTTTAAATTTCTGGGTTGTTTTCAGATGATGGTATATTAAAATTATGTAGTCAGTTGTGATAGCTTGGTCATTTTCAGAGGTCTTTGCATTTGTCAGGTCATTTCATTTGTTGGGTCTTTTTCTGTCTTTAGATCATTTGCAGTTATTGGGATGTTTTTAGATGTTGGGCCATTTTTAGTTGTAGACTTGGTTTTGTTTGTCTGTTTCCTTTTTTTTGTTGGGTCATTTTAAGTTGTTGGCAGTTCCTATATATTGGGTCACGTTGGTTTGTATTTAGATGATCAGCCTGTTCGTCAAAGTTGGGTCCTTTTTGGGTATTAGTTCATGCTCTCACATTGCGACATTTTCATATTTCAGGTTATTTTTATGCATTGGCATTAATATAGAATTACAACCGATTGTTACCATTTGCTTGCTATATACTATATATACTTAAATTTGAGATTTTGAATAGACTACAGAGTTGAAAAAAGCCTAAAAGTAGAAATGGCTTGGAGACAACAAAACTTTTAGGGTTGTTTTTCTGGTCACATGAGGATGCTGACATTGTTTTTTGTTGTTTTTTTAACTTAGTTTTGGTCAGATCATGAAAAAAGTACCAGGCTCATTAGATGCAAACTGTGTTCAGCTGCTTGTTACAAGCTTGTGTGACTGCTGTGTTGAATAGTGTGTCGAGCCAATGGTTTTCTGTTTCTGCTCGGACACAGGCCAGTGGTATGCATTTAATAACAGGGACAAAATGCTAACGAACCCCTTAGCTGTGTGCTGCAGAGTGTGCTCACTCCACGGACCCTTAAACAGGGTCATTTGTCTCAGACAAGTTAACCAGCATCGATGTTTGCTCCACTCTGTTAATGTCTCAGTAACCTTTGTGGCAGCTCTGTCGAACAATTGTTAGGGAAGTGAGGTGGAGTGATGGGACTTATAAAGTGAGAGGGATGTGTTTTCAGAGTATCAATAACTCTTATGTCATCTCCAGCCAATGAGAAGACGGGAAGGAGAGCTCGATGGATTTAATCGAACTAAAGTTTTGTCTCAATTAGCCAGTATTGAAACTTTGTTCGGGAAGAAGAGTTAGGAGGTCAGAAACAGAGAGATAACGACTTTGAAGGAAAGTGGCGCCCACGTCTCTGATAATTTAACTTCACACTAAGTGATGAAACGAAGCTCTATCAAACAGACGGGCATTGTTCTGAAGTGACTGTCTTTGAATCAGTAAATTAAATATGGGAGAAACATCTGACGCTGATATTTGAGACGTCCTACACGTCTCAAATGCACCTAGATATGCAAACAAGGTAACCAGCGATTATAATCAAGAACCATTATGAGAAAGATTGGAATAACTTCACTTAATTAACTGTATTTTGAACGTGTTTCATTATTTCATATATATATTTTTCAACAATTTAAAGACACATTTAACTTGTAGCAAATTATTTTGAATGTGTCAAACTTTTTTTTTATTATGATTTAAACAAATGTCTTTCACTTTTTAGCCCAGCAGTTATTCGCTCTTTAGCGCTTGTGCACTCAACTCAACTCAACTCAACTCAAACTTTATTTATAGAGCACTTTAAAAACAAACGAAGCTGACCAAAGTGCTGTACAGGTCAATAAGACACAGCGAAATACATAAAACAGACAGTAAACAATAAGATCAAAAACACAGAATACAAGATTAAAATACAGAAAAGTAAAATTGAGGTACAAATACACCATAAATAAAAACAAATATAAAATATGTAGGTAGATAAAAAACAAATAAAAAATACCGCTCGCGATCTCTACAGCCTCTCTTGTTCATTGCGCTCTGTCCCTTGGCTTTTCAGGCACCCATGGTTTGATAGTTTGTTCTGCCGTTGCACAAAAAGTTGGAGATGTAGCTGTCGGTTGTTAAGCCAAACTTTGCTTTACATCGATATCACTTTGTTTTTGGTGATATAATGGGCTACTTTCTCCTCAAAGTCAAACCTGACGCTTAAATGTGAGGAAAGGCTTCGTCTGCTATCAATCGTCAAGCTTGGCGTGGCGAAAGCATCAAAAATGACCTTTAAAGAAATTGACTACCTGTTACCGGCGATCTTTTACAGCTGATTCAGGAGTGTGAGTATTAGTTTCATCCTGTTTTGGGCTCAGTAAAAACTAAAAAAGACGGGCTTTAACTCGTTTCGTTGCATTTTGGCATTTTCATTCTGTCGTAAGCACACGTCTTGTTCGATAGAGACGAGTTAAACTTTATCGCGCTTGAACCATTTCTTTGGAGATGTCAGCTATGACTCATGCCAGCAGCCGGGTACGACTTTATTTTGTTTGTTTTGTGGAAGTCAGCACTACTTCCCCGGAGAAAATATCAAGGCAGATTACTTGTGAGACCTGTTAAGACAGTTACACTCTGTTCCAAGTTGTAAGCGTAGCCGTAGAGCAGTGTTTCCTCAAATCCCATTACCACAGTGTGTCTTGGAAGCGTTTGTAACCGTGGCTGAGGGTGTCTGTCAGGAGTTCATGCCTGCTGCTGCTGTTGTTGTTATCGTAATGATGGCGGGTGAACTTTGGCGACGGGTTCCCATCGACCGCGCCAGAGTTTGTTCAGCGGTGTTTGAAGAGATCCTGTATTTTTCTGCTGCGTTCTACTTTCTCCGCTTCCCCGTCCCCGTCCTCTTCTGTCAACAAGGATTCCGTCGTGCAAGCTAAATGGAAATGGAGAAAAGGAGTAATGTAGCCTGACTACTTGCATCGTTTCATCTCCGAAGGCTTCCCCACCTTAAACGTCTTCTGCGACAATGCAAGGTGGCTGGCGGATGAGGTGGGAAGGGGTTAGCATTCATGCCGACAGCCGGCAGAAGGCGAGGGAAGAAGGGGAAGAAGGGAGGAGGACAGGAGGAGGCAGCGAGGGTGAGGTTTAGGAAGCGGGGAAATGATCTACGATTGCTCTCACTTTGCATCCAATTGGTCTGCGGAGAGATGCAGATTGAACTCTCATGCATTGTGTGAGCTCAGCCATAGATAAGAGAGGAAATTACCAGCAGCCTAAATGGAGAGAAGCTGCGAGTGAAATAGAAGAGAAGCCATTATTCAAATAGGGGATTATTAGTTGGCTGAGTGGCCTTTTGCTCAGAACGAGGCCTCGCAAACGTAGAGGATTACCACCAACCTGGCAACACGCCACTCCTTGTGTTTTTTCCTTTTTTTCTCATTTTTTTTCTTGTTGTCGGTAGAGACTTTGACTTCACAGACACCAAAAAAAAAGGGGCTGTTTTTGAGCGATTTAACACAGAGAACGTCATCTCTACTTCCAAAACATTTCAATCAGATTACAATAAGATTTGATGACAGGACATATGGCTGCGACGGACCTCCTTCTGTGGAGACTTAATAAGGAGAGAGTGGAGTAATCCCCCCCCGTTTTTCATCTGCTCTTCTCTGTCAACCCCGCGGGGATGTAAAGCGGCATCAGATTTCTGTCCCCTTTTTTTATCTGATGTAATGGATTTGCAACAGCCTCAACCTGGAGCAACAACTCAGACAGATCGGCTTTCTGAGGGGAAGGTGGGTGAGTGAGAGGAGTGTGGGAAGGAGGAAGAAAAGGGGTATCGTGTGTGATTTGGGGCCAGGAAGAGAGGACAGAAGGGAGGTAAACTTGGGACTGTGAAAATCTGGTTTTCCTTTTTTTTTTTTGCTGTAGACTGTAAATCCGAGCAGCCAAGTCGAAAAAAACATTTTTAGGTCAGCCTCCTAGTTAATTATAGAGATTTGGAGAACTTCTGGATTCCTCTCAATTGGCAAAATGACTTAAGAAGTGTTCGCTGACTGGTGCCAAAACAACAGCAAACTCGTGTTCGAACTAATACTTTAAATGGAGCTGCTGGAAATAGGGCAGTGTGGTTATATCTTCCTTAACTTTTCAGCAGCAGCACCAACATGATGCACTCTTTCCTCCGCGTCTTCATCACGATTTTATCACCCGAGAGGTGAAATTCCCAGACCGGTACCTGGTGGAGGAAATAATGATGGGGCTCGGCAACGGCAGGATGGAGAAGCGGGAAGATGAAGTGATAGGAGACCGGGGGGAGTAATGATGGTGTGTTGGGAGGAGGGCTGTCAGGGTGTCAAATTCACACCGTATGATTATCATGATAATGATATTTTTATGATACTTACAGAAAAGTAGGACAAAACAACAACATAGTCCAACAGATTACAGGTAAAGCAAAAAGAAAAAACATGATTTACTTGCAGGACACTCGAGTGGACAGGACAGAGGATAAGAAAGGACACAGGGGAGGGATTGGGAAAGGAGCTACAGATCAGAATCAAACCCAGACCGTCTGCAGGGGGGTTGTGACCTCTGTGTTCTGGGCACATGTGTAGACGGCCAGTCTAGGATGGTTAATGTCAGTATAGGTTACAGCAGCAGTTCCTAGCCTAGAGTAGAGGGCCCGACAGACTCGCCTGGGGGAACGATTGGGCCAGCTGATGGAGTGGACCGGTCAAAATACTGTCCGATTTCGTGTTCCCACCTGAATAAAACTATAAAATAAAACTATAGTCTTCACCCTTTTCTTCCACATTACACAGAGTTAAAGGCATGATTGACGATTGGAGGGATTGGTAATTATTATGGACCTCGTTTCTATGGCGATCATGGTCCTATAGTGCGATCTCCACAAAGTAAAGAGAAAAAAGAATAGAAGAAATCCGTTCATCTGAGCCATCATCCCGGACAGCTTCTATTGGTCAATCTCCTGCTCCGCCTCTCCATCCAATCACCTCGCTGTATTCTACACACCCCTCTCCCGTAGTTCCGACTCCTCCCCTCCCTCTCTCCCGGCCCTCCTCGGAGCTCTGAGTGGCGAGAAGTTGCATAGCAGCTTAGCTACAGGAGCTATGATAGAGAAGGACACACACACAAAAAAAAAACCACTTCTGCTCGCCCCAACGCCAAAAGTGGGAAGAAAACGCAAGCCAACAGAAGAAAGGGCAGAGACATGGTGAATCTTATTTGAAGCTAGCGTCGGATCTTCTACCGGACGGCTTCTTGCTCTGCCAGAGGGGATGTGTCGTGGGGAGGGCGATTCAGGTTTGGGGGGGAGTTATCGTGTCAACCATGATTGTTTCAGAGAAAGATTTTGCACTCCATAACTTATAAGACCAGGTGAGCTCATGTCATGTCAGGTGGTGCGTTCTTCCGTTCCTCCCATTATTTCCAGATCTTGCGGCGAGAGCTTGTTTCTGATGAGAGAGGAGACCATCTGTGATTATCAAACTGAAAGGGAACTTGTTAAAAGATAAAAGGAGTCGAATCGAGGGATTCAGGTGTGAGGAGAGGAACTGAAGAAGAAGAAGAAGGAGTGAGTAAGATGTAAAGGACTGTCCTGATTGTTTTTGTGTGTGTTGGATTTACGGGACAATGTATTCAGGTTTTCTGCTCTATCATCCAAAATGCCTCCACAGTGGGTTGACCTTGCAGCATGTACACTCGCTCAGTCTGCCGTCTGGCCCGCCGAGAGCTGCAGTTAGCCCAGATGTGTATCAGTGGCGTCTGATGGCGAGCGGCCAAGCGTTAAAAAACACACACTTTCCTAATTTCCCTCTGGCCATTTTAAATACCCGTCTTCCTCTCCATTTTTCTCTGTGTAATTATTCTTTGGTGGCTCGGTGTCATTATTTATCATCACGCTCCTCTTTCATCTGTAGTCTTATCTACAGAGCCAGCTCCCTCTGCCAGACTCGCCAGGACTATCGCCAGCTACATAAACATTTTACTGACAAGGACGGTCAACTGTTTACTGACGAAGCAAAAGTCTTACTGGCAGCAGCCACATTGCGGGCGTGCACGAGTCCGCGCGCACGAGGAAATGTGTGTGTGTGTTTGTGAGAAACAAAGAGAAAGAGAGAGAGAGCCCCTAATGTACGGCTACTCTTGGTGTGGCCACCTACAGGTATCTCTGCAGGGACCCATTTGTCGAATGCACTTAGTGCTGCTTCAACCTTGGACTCTTTACTACAAGTCTAAGCAACACAAAGTGTAGAGTAGATGGAATATAAAGGGCTCTCTGTTCTCATCCACAAACCTTTATTCCTTTGTACTCCGCCTCTCTGTCCTGCACCCCCCTCCGCCGATCTGTGCCGTTTCTCTGCGGGTGTCTATTCTTAGGCTCGCTCGTATTCTACACAAATAAAATGCAAATAGTTTCCCAAGTTGGTCTATGCTATGTCAGCGTTTTTTTATACAGTCAAGTTTACACGAAGCAAATTATTCAAGTCATAAGCCCGAGCAGAATAAAATTACTCCATAAAAGCTGTTTAAAGGTGCCAACATGCTAAAAAATCCACAGGCAGGTTGGACGTTTAAAACGTTTGCCTTGGACGACCTTGAGAAAAAATAAACACTTCCTGAGTGTTGCCGCTCTCTTTGGCGGGTTAAACTAGTGAGCTCCTGAAGCCAGCTCTTGAATGTGAATGATACTGTTTAGGTTCTCGCTGAGCCAAATAATCTGGATCACTAAAAAAGCTACACTGAGGTGGGTTTCCTGCTCAGTTCTGGTAAGACGGATCACAGACTACTTGAGCACGATTGTCCAGCCTTTGTAGATACGAAGAACTCTGCCGATCTGGACGCAAACCAAAACAAATCTGATCCTCGGTAGACTTAGCTGTGTGTAAAGGACCTAGTGTCAGAACCATGACAGAATAGAAAGAACCAGTCTTGAAGCTTTTGGTCGTTTTTACCGATGAAGGTCATATCCAGCTCCGAACACACAAAATAAACTGATAAGAACGTCATAGTTCGGCAGGTATTGCCTGAAACTTTGACCTGATGGAGCAAGATGTGAAGTCAGCTGAAAACAAAGTTATGTCTCCAGAGGTTCATAAAGTCTACTAAGACTCGTTCGTGTTCTTGCTGAGCCAAATGGTTGTGATCACTACCTTGAGGTTGGTTTCCTGCTCATACTTGGTGAGAAGGATCACAGACTACTTGAGTGTGAGTGTCCAGTCTTTGTAGATTTGAAGAACTCTGTCGATCATGCCACAAACCGAAACAAATCTGATCCTTTGTAGACTGAGTTAGAGGATCTTGTGTTTGAAGGACCTGATGTCAGAACCACAAGCTTTAGAAATAATAGAACTTAGCAGAATAGAAAGAATCAGTCTTCAAGCTATTGGTCGTTTTTACCGATGAAGGTCATATCCAGCCTTAAACACACACAAGATAAACTGATAAGAACGTCATAGTTCAGCATGTTCTGCTTAAAGCTTTGACCTGATGAATTAAGATGTAAAGTTCATTAAGTTCGAAGAATTCTCTCCCGTATTTGCTGTTGTTGTTTCATCTGAGAGAGACGATCGACCAAATGACTGGCAAGCAAACTTTGCTTTCCACTGTTGACTAATGTTCCCATATCTTCTTGAGAACATCCAATCAATGTGAGAAAACCTTTCTCTAAAACCATTTTTCCATTTCTAATCAATCTGATTCAATATTAGCGTTTAAATACTGAAAAGTGGAGCTTCATTGCCTAATACAGGCGTGAACAGGTTATCGCAGTAAGGCAAAGGAAGCATATCCAAATCAGTTGCAGTTCAATAACCCTTAACCCCCATTTAACCCCCTTCATTCATGAGCAACCAAGCAGTCCCTTGTGAACAGCGCAGAGTATTTAGCGCTGAATGAATTGTTCCACATTACCTGCATCACCTGTTTCCCTGAAAGAGTCAGCAGATGGAACATGAAGCAGAGATATTTCTTTGAAAAATCGCTGACTTATGAAGCCAAGTGCTGAAACCCTCTGGGCACCCGGGATATACGCCCCGGCTAAACGCTGAAAGGACTGCTGTTTTATTGCTCTACTATTGTCTGTGATGTCTTTGATTAAGTTCAGCACAGCGCTTGTTTGAAGACCCTTTGAAGACAAATGTTTCTCTGCCTTCAGCGGTGTGCTGACTGGGGCAAAGAGCGAGAAAATAGTACCACCGTGCCAGCTGCTTGCTCCAACCTGGCTTCATATTTCTGTACAGGTGTGTCTGCAGGAAAAGGGGGAATCGGTGTGCGGATGGCAGCTGCTGGCATTTGCAAACACATAGTCATGCAGACACACACGATTTGCCAGTGCCAGGAACAGACTGCCCAGGCCTGCAGGCATTCAGGCCAGTTACAAGCTGCCGGATTTAGACCACTGGCTCTGAACCCTGAACAAGCCTCTCACCAGGGTCAAGCTTTGACTAGTTCTGGTCTGACCCTCATACCCTCATACTGTATGTACTGCAGGAGCACAAATATTGAAAAATGAGACTTGGATTCTCATTTGGAAGCACAGTATTTCCCAGGATGAGCACATGCCAGGTCCTATCTGGAGCTTATTTGCATACCCGGACGTCACATACAGTGCCTAAAGGGGCTTTCCAGGTGCACCAAGGCAAATGCTCTTAATCCAACCCAGACTCTCTAAGAGCGATTTCACACCTATCCTTTTTGGTGTGGTTTAAACAGAACAAAGAGGACTCTCAGGAGTCTGCCTCCAATTGTTCTCGCAATGTTCATTTTTTATTTTGTTTCAGTACAAAGCGGAGCAACCGCGGGATTCTCTGTCTGTAGGCTGGAGCCACTTCCAGTACAGAACTCGAGTGCTTTTACATCGACACAGTCTGTTGTTGTTGGCAGCTGTCAATGAAGCAATCCTCCGGAGGTGCGCGATCATCGAGTCACCATGGTAACATGTATACCCATTGGCATAACATGTGATCTTTTGTTAAATGACCTAATAATGAGCTGGATTAGAGTCAATCCTAATGAATGAATGCTGTTTCTTATGGAGAACTGGCAGTGTTTGACACGAGTCAGGTTAGGATGTACGTAGAGTGGTTTTTAAGAGAATATTATCAATATTAGTGTCTAAAATTCTAAACTGCTTTTTCAACTGCTCTAGCTTTCTTATATGTTATTCATCAGAACCAACTTTAGTTTGTTCATGCTCATCGAAAAGTCCTCTAAGCACATGGAGTCTAGTAATGGAGTTCCACATGGTTCTCTGCTCGGGCCATATCTTTTTACTTCATATATGTTCAGGTGGTACTGCAAAAAATTTAGTTTGTCGGCTGGCACTCTATTCTAGAAATAAAAAAAGACAGTGAAACACAGTTAATTAGAGTTGGAGCGTTCCAACAACTTTGGTTATGGAGTACCACAAGGTTCAGTGCTCAGACCATTTCTGTTTACATATATTCAAAGTAACATGTTGAGATAGTACTCCATAAGTTTGAAATGAGATGGCATTCTATTATAACAATAAACAAAGTTAGAAAAAACCAATCAGTTTGCTAAATTTGTCTCTTTTCACTTAGGTTAACCACGGAGTACCACAGGGTTCACTGCTCGGACCACTTCTTTTCAATTTAAATAGATTCAGACAAGGTCATATCAGCACAAATTTTGACTGTTCATCAGATGACACTACTTTAAAATAATGTCAGAATCAAACAATCAGCTAGCTAAATTTGTAGCATCTTACTAAGGTTAACCACGGAGTACCACAGGGTTCACTGCCCGGACCATTCAGATTCAGACAAGATCATATCTGGGGAAATCACAGCGCAGATTTGACTGTTTATCAGATGACACTTAAAGTCAGAAACAAACAATTAGCTAGCTTAACTGAAGTTCTGAAGTTCTTGCACTTGGCTCAAATATCTTAGAGAGACATAATCAAACACTATAACCATCATAAGTGGTATAACTCTGGCTTCTAGCACCGCTGAAGGGAATAGGAGAGTTCTGTTCATTTGACTAAATTTAAAGACATTTTAGGAACTGCAGTATTTTGCGCCTTCACACCAGCTTCATTTTCATACTCTTGAGGTTTATGTTTAACTACACCTCACAGACCTGAATTTTTAATCCATGTATTACCAAAACCAATTTTCCAAGTGCAGAATTTACTTAAAAAATCTTCCTACTCAATAATTACTGCATATTCACCACAGTACATTAGTTAATCGATCTTGGTACAAGCCTCTGAACTTTCTTTATGTTCAGGATCCAGTTTAAGTGCATTTAAAGAGTGTTTTCCTCTCTCTCTCTTTATGGGCTGGTAGTTGTTATATGGGGGATAAAAAAGCAGTGAGATGTGTGAAGCCAAACATGAAAGGGAAATCGATGTTTTAGCCTGCTGTAGCACAGCCTAACCACTGGTCATAATGTGCCCTCAGCCAGGACTCCCTCCTCACATGCTGTGTCAGTGTAATACATCAGCTCGTATAAACGTAACTGCTGGAATGACTCCAACTGAAGGTTGACAATGTTATCTTTCGATTTTGAAGTTGCTGTTGACGTTTGATCAATCCTGACCACAAGGTCAAGTGACACACAAACAGTCATGTGTCGATATTTAAACGCTTTTTTTTCTCTCTCTGTGGTCAAAAAATAGCAAAGGTCAATAACCAAACTCTCCGTGGGGTTGTGTGTCTCTCTGTCTGCTTTGCTTTTCCTTATTAGGACATGAAAATAAAAGCAGCTGTTTGCATGCACATGCAGCCGCATGGACAGTGTTAACAGTAACAATAAGCTGCTGCACCTTTTTGATAAATTGGGTCTGCTGGTCTCTCATAAAAACGTCAAAATTGTTGAGAATTGTTGGCTACCTGCTGGGAAACATTAAAAGTGTGACAACCGGGCTTTGGGATGAAATACAAGTGGATATGGGAACAAATGTAAGGTGAGATTTAAGAGATGACAGGGAAATGAATCACGGGGCGAATCATATATGATCACTGCAGCGCTGTAATGAAACAGGAAAACACAGTATGGCTGAAATATGAGATGGACCTGAGTACTTTCTGTCCGGTGGAGTTGTAGTCGAGTTACTAGAAATCGAATCCTTAAAGAGTCTCAAGTTCTCAATCCCAGCCAAGTCCCCATTACACCCCAAACTGTTTTTCTTTCTTTACGTACACATTTACATTCTTTAATTCACCACTGAGTTATTGGCAATGTGTAGAATTTGGTTTATTCTTCAAAATAAGTTGGCAGGGACAAAGATGTACACTATTCCAATAAGTCTACAAGACCACACCGGAGAGGAGAAGTGAGTACAGGGTTGTTTCACTACCTTTTAATACCATTTTTATCCCTTTAATTGCTCCTTAAAGTTATCTCTGTTTACCTGAAAACATTAATTCAGTTATGTTTTACGTAATGTGAAA